TGTTTTTTTTACCAAATACCACGCCGTTTTTTCGGCGTACGCTCATGCGTATTGGTTTATTGCAGGGATTATTCATTGGATTGCTCACCGGAACGGGTTTTGCCTACGATGGCCAGGCTCAGACAATCCTAAATCGGGAAATATCGGTGAATGTGGCCAATCAACCGTTGAAAAAAGTGATCGATCTGCTGCAAACACAAACGCAGGTCCGATTTATTTATAGTTCCCGGATCCGACTCTCCGAACCCGTCAGTTTAGTCGCGACATCGGAAAAATTGCAGTCCGTTCTCAATCGGCTATTAAGTCCCCTGCAGATTGATTACAAAGTAATTAATGACCAAATTGTGCTGGCCCGGCTGAAATCCTCACCAACCGAGCAAATAACCCCGCGTCAGGACGTGAGTTGGGACCTGCCCGCTGACCGAACGCTTACGGGCCGGGTGAGTGAGCAGTCGTCAGGGCAGGGACTACCTGGCGTTAGTGTGGTGGTGAAAGGAACCAGCAAAGGAACCACGACGGACGGTGCAGGAAACTTTCGGCTGTTGGTGTCTGAGGATACAGACAGCCCCAGCGGACTTACCCTTGTCTTTTCTTTTATTGGTTACCTCACCCAGGAGGTGGCCGTAGGAAGCCGTACGAAGCTGGATGTACAGTTAACCACCGATGTACGATCGCTCAATGAGATCGTCGTAGTGGGGTATGGTACTCAGAAAAAATCAGACGTAACAGGGTCCGTTGCGTCCATCAGCGCTGAAAAGTTAAAAATGCAGCCTGTAGCAGGCATCGATCAGGCACTGGCTGGTCAACTACCCGGTGTACAGGTGACCCAGCCATCCGGCGCGCCGGGAGGGGGGGTACGGGTTCGTATCCGGGGAGCCGGTTCAATTTCGTCGAGTAGTGAGCCTCTTTACGTTATTGACGGATTTCCGGTGCAGGGCAATTTCGACCAGAACTATAATCCACTGACTACGCTGAATCCAAGCGATATTGAGTCGATCAACGTTTTGAAGGATGCCTCCTCAACGGCAATTTATGGGTCACGTGGTTCCAATGGCGTTGTGATCATCACCACCAAACATGGAAAAGCGGGTAAAGCCCGGATTGACTTTGATGCGTATGTGGGTACACAGTCGCTGGAACGGACGATCAAGGTGATGAATGCCCAGCAACTGGCCGAGGCCAGCATTGAAGCCCGGAATCAGTATTACCGTGATGTCATCGGGGGAAATCCATCGGATAGTAATGAAGAGCGTTTAAAGAAAACAACGGCCGGGTTAGCGCTACTACCGCCTATTTTTACTCAACCTGGCCAATATGATACAGATTGGCAAAAAGCCTTCTACCGAACAGCTCCCATCAGCAGCTACAACTTATCCGTTAGTGGGGGGACCGATCGGTCAACGTATTCAGTAGGTGCCGGTTATTTTAATCAGCAGGGTATTATCCCGAATACGGATTTGGTGCGCTACTCCCTGCGGGCTAACCTCGAAAGTCGGGCCAGTGATCGGCTAAAAATAGGGGTGAGTTTATTGCCGTCTGTTCGAACCCAACGGGTTGTTGATGCCGAAGGGCATCCCTGTTGTGGAGGCACCGTGCTCGGTGCTTTGACTTTCCTGCCTCAGGTACCCGTCACTAACCCTGACGGCTCCTATAGTACGATGACTGAT